TGTCCTCTTGATATAATTGACATAAATACAGTAAGAAGGCTGTAGGTGCAGTAAATGCTACAAATAGAAATGAATCATAATTTAAAGCAGTCGCATGCGAGTAAGAAATCAATCAATCATTAGATAACAAGTAACGTATAAAATCATCAATATTTTGCGAGTCGTTTATGGTCATTGCCTATATCGGGTCGGCGGAGCGGCGCGGGCGCAGGCGCGGGCGCGGGCCGGGCGCGGGCGCTGACTCACCTGCGCTTTATTATTTGCTATCAATATTTATAATAAGTAATAAAATTCGACTATAATTTGATTTAAACGCGATAAATACTTAGGTTATTTTAAAGCAAAAGTAACGATTTAAAGAAAAATTATAGCTGTTTTTTTATTATTAACTAGCATTGCCCGCGGCTCCGCCCGCGTTCAGATGACCAAAAACTAAATTCTTAGGTGTTACATATTAGTATACTCTTACATTGCAGTTTTTGTATTTTTCCTCAGAAATAAGATATTTTCCCGCGGTAAAAAGTATCCTAGGATCGCGCGCTACATCGCCCGGTTTATATAGCTTGAGCAGGCGGTCGAGCGATGCGGGGCAGAGGGGATGGACTCGCCGTAGGCATCTCAATGCTCGCCAAGCATTAAAAATGTTTCGCTACTAATTACTTCTAACAACGATATCTCAAAAACTATTCATCTGATTGATTTAGTGTAAAGAGCAATTTTAATCTGCATTAAATGACTAAGCTAACTAAAATATTCATTTGGATAAGGATTAATACCGAACTAAAGAAAATAACTTTGAAAATAACGTAATGTTTTTAATTAAAAATGTTAACATAAAAGTGGTTATTGTAAGTCAACCGTAAGAGATAGAGATATGCTATCGCGGACTTTTTTGTAGCATTTTTATAGATTTTGAATTCTCTAGTACATTACTTAACTGTATCTTTGCTAGTTTACGCGGCGTTCGCGTGGAAAGTTCCCATTTGGCGAGATTTTTTGCGACCTCTTCAACATTTGTCGCCGTATTTCAGCTAATTTACATAAAAGCATAATAAATTATATACCTAAACCTTCCTCAAGAATTACTCTTTCTATTGTTGAAAACCGTATAAAAATCCGTTCAGTAGTTTTCGAGTTTATCGCGTACAGACAGACAGGAGGACAGACAGGAGGACAGAAAGACGCGGCCGGGGGACTTATTTTTATAATAAGTATAGATAGTATCTGGGCCACCGAGCTTCGGCCGGAGTTTTTGGTTAAAAAGTACAATTTTCTTAAAAAAAAATTATATCTTTGTATCCGACCGGGATTCGAACCCGGACACTAATGATTGTCAATCTTGCGTCTTTTTTTTAAAAAAAACTAAAAACTTGAATAAATATGAAAAATCAAATAAAAGTAAAACTTTGTATGCGATCGAGATTCGAACCTGGACACCTGAGATTGTTGATCTTGCACCTTGGCCGTTTGAACACGATGTATATATGCCAGCGTGCAAATTACCGATCATATTTTGCGTGGAATAATGCAAAAGAAAACTGCATGAAACATACGACATAAGACTAATGTAGATCGATTTATCGCCCCCGAAACCCCCTGTGTACTAAATTTCATGAAAATAGTTGGAGCCGTTTCCGAGATTCAGATTATGTATACAAGAATTGCTCGTTTAAATATAAATAGATAGATTTAAAAAAAAAACAAAAAGATTTAGTAGCAGGTTGGTTTTGTATCATAAAAGTGTTTATTTGATATGTATTATAAATAAATTGATATAACATAATATGATTATCTTTTCCATTTATCTAACAACACGAATAGAATGATAAGTTTAAAAGACAATACTAAAATGTCAAAATATGTATTAAATATTCATTAATCTATTTTTTATTTCAATTGAACTTTTTATAATATTGGCAGGCAGTTTAAATGTTTTTTAACCACAATAAACTTCTATGGAACTATCACAACAACAGGTCAAACTTATATTTTTAAATTTAACTTTCAGTTCAGACCTGCCCTATTTATTAGCTTAGGCATTACACATTTTCATCTCGATATGGAGGTTGGAGAATTTATAGAGAATCTTGAATATAAGTAATGACTCGTATAAAGGTCATTGATTTAATATTAACTTTTATAATTTATATTTATGGGAAAATGTTAGGTTAATTCTAGGTCACATGCTAGGAGCCGTGCGGCCGGCTGCTGCTGCTATATGTATTAATTTTATATTATTAAACCAAATATACAAGAAATGTGCTTGAATATATATCGTATATCGTATTTATGAAAAATTATTTAACTAAAGGCAAACTAAAACACTTATGATATCTATACATATAATAAAATTCTAACTAAGCCGAACATGTCATTAAATATTTTTTGGAAAATCTTATTAAAATAGACATTGTTTTCGATACGGAAAAACCGTTGGAGGGATTTTGGTGAAATTTGGTATGGTGATAGCTGGTTATCCGGGTCAACATAAGATACTTTTTACCGCGGGAAAATGACTAAAAAAATTTCGGGAAAATTTCTGAGAAAAAATACAAAAACTGCAAGAGTATACTAATATGTAAAACCTAAGGATTTATTTTTGGTGCTAATCATTGCATGCTAATCATAACTATAAAAAGCATTGAACTAATTCTTTATTATTTTAATAAAATTCAATCGTTTCTACCGCCCCACTACTGGGCACGGGCCACCCTTCAATACGAAGGGGATTAGGCCATAGTCCACCGCGTTAGTCAAGTGCGGGTTGGCTGAATAAAGCCTATAATATGATTCGGTCATAGTAAACTTCACTGGTCAAATACGAATTGACGGACTTTACGCGTCTCTCGAGAACTTCTTAGGTTAGGAAGCAATCGGTAATCGTATTAAAATTGACATTTGCGCATGACATTTCAGAGGAGCGATCTGGGGGTTTGAAACCGTTTCACTTCGCTATAGCGTCGAATGCGTTGTGTAACTAAATTTTTAGAAACTCTTAGAAGATTTAGTGGACAGAATCAAGTAAGAAGTTACAAATAATGCAAAATGCCTAAATATTTGCTTTAATTTTTTTAAATACTATTTAGTTTTATTCCTCCACACTAGTTTATGTTTTTCGGCGACGGTAGGAGCTTTATAATCTTCACGAAGGATCGTCTTGAAAGCTATCCCGTTATCGCAAAGGAAAGAACGTGCAAATATGAGAATAAAGTGTTCCATACGTCATTGTGACTATATATTTGTAAATATGGTAAAGTGAACAGTTTACATAATATATTTAAGTACGGAGTAACTGCAAGTCACATGCATACTTGCATAATATATTCTTTGCTCTAAATTAAGAAGTGCAAAGTAAGAAATAATTGCTATCGCCCACGTCCCGCATCCCGCGTCTTCTGAATCATATAGATTTTGATTCTTAATACGGATATTCTGAATCACGCTGTAGAGCTCCTCCGAATGATCGTCGCTATAAATACACTGTGACGTATTTTTAGCTTTAAAGTGATGAGAATTCATAATATCTCAGAAATATTCTAATTGTTAAGTCAACTTGACACATCCAACATTAATCATACAATGTACGAGGACATATTTAAAATTTCAAATTAAACTTTAACGTCTAAGAATTACTGTATAGAAGTTACCGACCTAAATAACTTGTTTTAGTGACCTCATCAAATCCGTGACGTTCCTTTTCTTTTAATCCATCACGAATTTCATGTAACTTCGCAGCATTTCATATAGCACCTGGCTCGTGACCACGACCTCTGTAAGCAACTTTTGTATTCAGCCCTTTTTAACGTCCCACCGCTGGACACGGGCCTCCCTTCAGTACGAGGGGAATCAGGCCGTAGTCCACCTCGCTGGCCAAGTGCGGGTTAGCGGACTTCACATGTCTTTTAAAATCTTGCTAGGTTCTCTCAGACATGCAGGTTTGATGATGTTTTCTTTCACCATTAAGACAAGTGGTAATCATGTTGGAAATGATTCGCACATGAAAATATCAGAGGTGCGAGACCCGAGAATTTGAACTCGCTTTATTCGGTTTCTCAAGCGAGCGCGTTACCACTGGCATACCACTGCCTTTAAGTGACTCTTATTACTCTTTATTTGGCATAAACTCCATTTTTGGACTATGCTCCTACCTGGTAGGTAAATACAAAATAACTTTAAGTCATCATGACTTTTGCTTTTATGTTATACTAACTTTGGCGTACTACTCCCCTCGCATGTATATTTTCATTTAGTTAGGTCTAGACTCTAGGTCTAATAGCAACCACTAAGCGGGAGGCGTCCTTAACTTTGCACCAAAAGAGCTTGGGATTGTACATATTATCTTTGTGCTTCTCTCGTTAGATTAATAATAAAATTTAATTATTTTTATTGAAATTTCTAGGATTTGACTCAAATTCAGTTATTAAAGCAGTTCATATTACCGACAATTCTATGCGCATAGATCTGGACCCCCAAAGCTCCGAAGAGAAGTTGACCCTATGTTTAGCTTTTGCCGCCTTTAACTGTACTGTCCAATTTAACGTCATGCAATCATCTTCATTCACACGTGCAAGTTATTATTCAGAAAGAAGTTCCTTCCGAAGTTTTCCTAAAATTACTAGAAAAAGACTCTAACATCTGTTCTCAAATAATTCGCAACTAATATATATATTAAAATAAAAAGAAAAAAATCTACTAAAAAATTGTTTTGTTTCTAAAAATCAAAGTATCTCCCAAATACTTATATATTTTTCAATAAATATTACACGTTCAATGTTCCCGTAACAATTCATTACATGTATAGATCATTCGTGTATTCGCAATTGGTACTATTATACTCGTGAAGCAATCTCGTTCGCTCTTGACTTACATTTGTAATAAAAATTACTTATTATTCAAACTAGTCATTGAACCTATTCTTGTGAATATGACAATATGAGATCACAGGTCTGCCTTTCCCAATCTCACGTTCACCGCTCCTAATACGTCCACGTCAGGTGGACATGCCCGGCGCGCGACAAGCCTGGCCTAATAACTGGAAACCTGCGACGTTTACGACTTTGGTCGCTATTCCTAATGCTATAAAGGCTATGAAGCTTATTTTCGAGAGGTTTCTATTTGGTGCAAAGCTCACGATCATAGAGTATATTGTATTTCTTTATAAATGATCTTAAAATGAGTTCACGACCATAGTGGCCTGTTGACAATTAGGAGACGTGATTGAATACTGAAATTGAAACAAGTCTGTTTGAGAACAATTGCGTTATAGCTGACTCGGCTCAAACGTTTAAAAGATGAAATGATTTTTAGTTTGATTTTATTATCTCGATTCGAAAAAATGATAGATTTTACAAATTACATTTTTCTTAAGTAAATAAATATCAGAAAACCTTAGAAGTATTATCAAAATGAGACCGTAAAAGACGTATAATCTAAATCCAATGAGTTTAGAAAACGTCCTCAGCTCGATGGCGGCGGCGCGAAGCGGCGAGGGTGGGTATTTCTCTATTGTAACAACACCCACGTCCACGCGCGCAAATTGGATAGTGGGCGTGGGAATTGCGAACTCGCTCTGCACATTACCAGTACATGCACTTTACATATTGGCTTTTACTTGTTTTATTAAAAACTAGTCCTAATTATATGGTTTAGATCTAACATTTTATAATTTGTCAACTTTGATAATTATAAAATCCGAAACAAATAGAAATATCAAAGAAACAGCTATGTTCTGAACATTCACAAACTTTAGAATTCCTTATATTTTATTATTTCATAATGTTTAAAAACAAAGTAAAACTGAAGTGTGTACTTACTTCTTTTTTTATTTTTTTACTAGCGATTCACCCTCGTTTTGCTCTTTTTCGTCCCTACATACGTTTTAACCTTACAGCTTAGATAGTCGATCCCTTGCACTGTACAAAACAAAAACAAATCTATCCCACAGGAATCATCCATTTTGCCGGGATAAAAAGATAACCTATGTGCTTTTCCACACTATAATCTATCTCTGTGCCAAATCAAATTTCATCCAGATCTGTTGTGGCGTGATTGAGTAAAAAACATCCATCCAACCAAACTTTCGGATTTATAATATTAATGGGATTTATCAGTAGGTACTCAATGCAGCCCATTCTTACTCAAGTAAGAAAAATATCAACGTGATTCACAGATTTCTTAGATAAATATTAAACATAAACATAACGAGCGAAGGTAACACCGTTTCGGTGCTGAACTGTTTATAGCGTTGTTTACTTTGCGGAATGCCGTTTTCGCTAGCAATTAAAAGTCCAGTAGATCATACAAGTGGCACCATGCAAGGTACATATGGTATGAGGCATAGGGCCGGCGGCCGGCGGTCGCAGCCGCAGGTACACGCGCCGTACGACGCGCGCTATCTAGGTGAGGGCTACGATATTTTTCTCACACTAAAACCTAGAACCTAGATTCACTTAGGCGCCTACCCGCTGACATGTAGAGCTGTGGACACACGTGATTGTTTACATCGTTGTACGACGATTTTTCTTATATTTGTTGTAAAGCTTCTTAGTTACGACTTAGATTATGGTATTTATTTATTTATTGCACAGGACAGAAGATTAAATTACAATTACTAAATAAATTAAGTGAATAGTAAAAACGAATACATCAATAATATAATATAGTTTAACTTTTCGTTGCACATGTTATTCATTTGATAAGCACTAGGTCTTTTCTCTTTTATTTTAAAATATGTATTTTTTATAAAAAAAAAGATAACTTATGATAAATAGAATTAAAAAAATCCACCCATTTTAAATAATGCAAGTTGTTCTTTTGGCGATGGCTTCAGTTCTCGTCGTGATGTAGTCTCGCATTATATAAACCGCCCTGTCCCATACTCTTACAAAACAAACAAGTAGGTATAATTTCATGGTTAGACCCAAATGCATGCAACAGATCTCTATAGAAGCTCGCTTGTTAAGGCTATACTAAATAGCTCGAGAGGCATTGCTGTAATTAGATTAACTACGCTGCTTACATACATTAAATTGTACACATTTAGTGCGGCGATTGATTGAAAGAGTTCCCACGCAAAGACATCTCATTCGAATGTAGAATTAGTGCAAAAAGCTATATACTAACATACATAGTTTATAATAGTTCACGTGAGCACGATAAATACTATTTAAACATTATTAAACAATAGAATTAAAATATTTATTTATTGTAAAGTTTCATTGATTAAAGATACATTATTTACGATTATTATGGTGTGAAAGTTTTACATTTTTCGTTTATTAAAAAGTTACATGTTTCTTTTTCTCATGCGCCAATGTGCGAGATAAATTGTGCCCAGGGCACTTGAATTAAATAAAAAAATTGAATAGTTACATATGAAAATAAAGCACCTTAAAATATTGAATTACAACTCCTAATGTAGAGCAGTCCACATTTTTACCTACTTACCCTGAATTGTGAACATTTAGTACCAACAAAATTATAGTAGAACTACATGATATAAATCAAAACAAATCCGCGAAAAAAACCGAAAAGATAGTTTTATGTAGGTATTTAAAATGTCAAATATTCGCGTAAGTCTAAGAAAGTATTATTAGAACTACATGTTATCGAATTAGTATTTATAGTAAATGAATATTGTATAAATTTTTAATTTATATAAATTAAATTCTTTGCAGGTTCAATAAAAACTTACTCTCATAAGAACAAGATCGATCCCTACCTTATTTCGTAACAGCAATTACAACGATTCCCAGTAACTTAACTGCGTTTAATTACACGTACCAAATTTTTGTAAGGTTTTTGTCAGTAGCAATACTGATATCGCTTATTATCAGTATTTATTTTCTCTGTAAATTCTCGCATGCAACAATCGATTGAATAAATCTTTAAAAAATCTTACAAGTGCTAAAACTGCTATCAACACATACATACAGCTACTACAAATTAACAAAAAATAATAATATTTATATTTTTTTTAATTAAGTGAACCTTTTTGGATGTGTTGCCAATTATATAAAGATATATTAAAATCTTTCCACAAGTAAAACGCAAAAAATATCGCATCACACAATACGTAAAACATGCATATAATTTTTTTAGAGCATTTTTATTATTTAGATCTTATACAGATTAATCTAATCTACTTTTGCTGTATGCTGTTGTTTTAAAAACATATCTTAAAATAATTATAGGTACATTATATGTATATATATAATATACATTAAGTATAAAGCAAAGGAGTAGAGTCGCGTGTCGATATAGTGTGCGATTATCTGGAAGCAACCAGTGCGTTTCGTCCATAATTATGTTAAATTGTTTCAAATTTTAATTTAGGCGTTTCTGTCACAAAAATGACAATATTATTTTCCAAAAATGACTAATTTTTAAATTAAATAATTAAATTTATGCGATGAATGATGATGAATTTTTGCGAGCCAGTGCATCGGGAATATATACAAGTACATCATGAACGAATTAGTGGCTAATTCGTTCATGATGTACATATTTCTTAAATTTATTGATATGATGTTTTATATATTGAGTTTTTATCTTTTTCAGAGTTCGATTACTATTTACTCATTAGGTAATTATACTAGTATACTTAATGTATATATATACATACAATGCATATATATAATCGTAATATATGTAGATTATACGGTGATTACACGTGATTTATAGGGTGAAATTGAATTTGTTTTAAATGATTAGTAGGTATAGGAAGATACTAAAAAAATATTTTTGATTTAAAAAGTGTTAAGATAAAATTTAATTTTCAATCAAATGTTATAATGATTCAATAAATTATATACCCCAATAAAATAAATAATAATACAGGGATGCAAATTTTTTTACTGAATTGAATAATATATATATTTATAATGTATAAAAAATTATTCCAAGTAAATAACTTTAAAAACAATATTCATTTGATATGATTCCATCGCTGTTCCCATTAATTGACTATTTATTTACTTCCGTAACAACCTTTTCCGTTACAAAAATCGTAACGCCAATTTTCTTCCTCTCATGGCGTTTTATTTCAAGGAAACTTTCTGGCAAAGGAGTTTCATTTCAAAAAGAGCTGATTGAATACACGTAAGTTATAAATATCTAAAACTCTACCTTTATCTCTCTACATATACTTTGTAAGCTTCTAATACTATCATTATATAGTTAACCATCCGTCACCTCCCCGTATCGAGTATTCAGGAGCCGCTCATCAGCTCATCACGCTCTGGCCTGGCCTAAGTATGATAATAATCTATCTTTATATAAAATAGAGAGCCAATATAAGGATACTATTTGAAATAACTATAATTTATTATAGTTATATTTGAATCTACTGGTGTCTGGTGTGGGCGACTCACAATCACGCGTTGTTGTTTCATTTAAGTCACAAACACTGAATATTTTATTTTTGAACCTCCTACTATCTATAATATAAAGCACGAGCGACCTTGACAGTTATATTTAGGTTAATTTATTGAAGTACAAGGGCCTATGAAGTCGCAAGCTTAAACTTAAAACGATGCAAGAAGATTAAAGCTCTAAATTACGAATAAAAAATATTAGGAATACTTTAATCAATACAGCGCATAGTTGTAGCTTAAAGCCTGGAATCCAGTAAGCGGCCGACGTCGGTATTGTTTCTACTCGTTTTCTCACTTTAAAACATTTAAAGCGTCGAAGGCGGCGGCCGCGGCGTTAGCTGATAAGAAATTAACTGCATCCATTAGATAGTTTTCTCCGGAGATCATTGTTTGAAAGACGCTACGATAAAAGGTTATTTAAGTAGTTTGTTAAAATACACGTTTTCAATCACAACTTTGCTATACACTTGTTAGAAAAATATATATTTAAATCATAAGTAAATGAAACTAAAATAATTCATATTAAATAACATTGTTAACGCTAATTGTAAGACAAAAACCATTAATAAGTAGGATTTATAAATGTAGCTTAATTAATATTTCCAAAAAGTAAATAGGTTTGTACCTAAAGTAATCAAAAGTGTCGAGAATAATGCAATCGCTACAACCTGGCTTGCAGCATTCTATAAACCTTTACAAAATTATAGAAAAAATACTGAACATTTAAGTCTTCTGAGATTGCAATTTTTACTTTTAGAAATTTTGATTTGATATAACGTAATGGATAGGTATATGTATATTGATGGATATACTTACTGGATATACATATATGAACTTTTATGAATGTCATAAACATACCAAAAGAATTTATCGGCAATAATATTAGTTAATCTTGTTAAAACTAATTATTCTAATAGTAAAGCGTTACACGCGTCGCTATATATTATGTAGTTCGTAATATAGAGCGATTTATTCATTCTACCTGTGTATGGTTTACGGTGAAGGATCTATGGAATTAGTAGGAGTACACACAACCGTAAGTACTCCCACTAGGCCACTAATATAATATTAATAAATAATAAGTAGTAATATGTAATCGATGATTATAATCAATCTTATCATGAAGTCCGTACATTTGATAGGTATTTGATATATTCTTCCTCTTTCAGCCATACGTCACAGTAGGAGGAGTAGGGTACAACGTTTTTGATGTGAAACATTTATTGGCGCGCTTCTGTAATTATTATTGTAAA